TGGTGGATTGCATTTGGCTGCAATTGTATTATAAGATCATGCTTTAAATGGGTAGGTTTTGTTTTAAGATTTAGATCCTTTTCGCGTTGTTATTATTTACGTGGGGTCTCTCCATTTATCAATTGGAATTGTTATATGATTTTTCACGGGTAAAAAAAAAGTATACGTTTTCTTATTTGGGTGGAGGCTAGGATAATTATTAACATAGGAACTTTAAAGTAAACTAATACCCTTGGTATTTATGTTATTTAAATATTTATATCCAACATTTTTGTATTATTTTTTAATTATCGAATGCAGATACAAGAGCATGATAAAATATTTTCAAAAAAAAAAAAAAATCTTTAAATATTTCGAGGGGAAATAGGAAAATATAAAAATAAATAAATAAAATACCTAGGACACTTCCAAATAGTGTTGGTCCTTGATCCCTGTTGACTATGACATCCAACAATGATGGGTTCATTGGCAATCAAAATCAAGCACTATGCTTTTGTCAAATTGAAACTTTTTTTAATCTCTCATCTTTATGGGACATTCATCATGTGTATGGAGGATGAATTGTCCGTCCAGCTAAGTTGGTAGAGTGTAAGTCTTTTAATCTTGTGGTCGTGAGATAGAGTCCTACGATGGGAAATTCATAATTTTGACTGTCGGAGGTCTTCCACGGAAGCTGCTCTCAACCTGGCATTGGGGGCAGCCTACTACCTTATCTCCCTCTCACCTCATTACATATAAGAATAGGGTCAGCTAATTTTTCATCATGTGTATGGGTACAATCAGTTCAGTTTTTATATATTTAAAACTAAATTAATTAATTAAATCATAAAAATTTAATAAATTGAATCGATTTTTTTTGTTAAAGTTAAAATTATCAAATTAAATTTCTTCTTAACCGAATTGAAATAATAAATCTCTTATCTCTACTTTTAAAAAATATATATATTTGTAAAATAAAAAGCTCATTATAGAATTAAATATTTATATACACAAATCAATAATTTAATTTTTAAAATCAAAGCAATCAAATTAATAGTCAAAACTAAATAAACTAATTGAATAAACGTAAAATTAAATAGATTAAAAATTTTAGTTAAACTGAATTAATTAATTAATTTGTTTTAACCTACTATTTGTTCATCCATAACCTCAATCATATATATAAATAAATAAATATACTTAATAATTATTTAAATAAAAATATAAAACGAAAATAATTTTACGAAAACAAACATTTTAGATCATAATATTTTAATCAAATATTAATATAAGCAAATTATATTGATATTTAAAATTTAATATATAATATACTGGGACAGGAAAAAGTAAAGATTACAATTAATTGGAAGGGATGAGTTTCACTATTCAGACATTGATTGTAGGGTCAACGTAACATAATGATTAAATAACAACTTATTTATCATTACTTATTACATTTTATTATTAAAACTTTATTTAGTTGACATGTGATAGCCTGACAAAAGCAGTGTTTAGATCGTTGGTAGGTAGGGATGGCAATGGTCGGTCAGAGTTTTGTCTGCTCTGACTTCGTCCCGATATAGTGAATATATAATTCGATTCTGATTTGAATTATATTTTAATATTATTTAATCTGATCTGACTTCAATTTGGAAAATAAAGTAAAAAATTCAACTTTGACCAATCCAAAATATATTATTGAAAATTAAAAGAAATTTTTTTTAAAAAATAACATTGGAAAAAAAATCCTCAAAAATAATCCTAACAGTCGCCAACATCATTTCCAGTTTAGCCGCAACTCATCAGCATCTACAGATCAGGGTAGAGATACATTTTTCTTTAACTTGATTATTTTTTTTTTATCTTTGAGTGCCTTTAATTCATGGAATGTAAGATTTCTAGTGAAAATAAAAGATTATCGGAGAATATGATTACTGTAAATGGTGTATTTTTTGTTTGGTTGATTTAGCATAAATATAACATTATCCTGTTTGGTTAAAAAAAAATAAAAGATTATTGATCAAATTGTCTTTAGTATATATTTATTTTTTTAACAAGTTGAAAAATATTTATATATATTTAAAAAAAATCATAAAATTTATATAATTTTTTAACAAAATTAAAAATATAAAAAGGTTTAATGAAATGGTAAAATTTTATTTTAATCCATAACCTTCATATAAAATTTTGATTATAAATTTTTTTATAAATCTAAAATAGTTTAAGGATAAATTTGTAATTTAATCTTCGTAGAATTTTTATTATTCAATGACAGAAGAATGATATTTTGGAAAAAAAATTAAGGGTATTTTAGTCAAAAACACTAATAATCCAACAATATCTAAGAGAAGGGAGGTAATGACATTACTGGTAATATACCCCAAAAAATTCACTATTGGTAATAAAACATTACTGGAAATGAGATTCCCGGCCAACCAAACGGTTGAATGTGGATTTCATTTCAATGAGAATCCCACATTCCCGAACCAAACAGACCATGAGGGAATTAAAAACGGAAGAATAAAACTGAAAATGGAATTTCTCATTTCGATTGTACATGCATATATTTTCTTAAGCATACATTTAAAAAATATATTTTTTACATATAAAAGAAAAAAAAAGATTAGACTTTTACAATAAAAATGAAATAAAATCAAATTAAATAAAAAAAAGGTAATTAAATAAACACCTTTAAAGAGAGAGCTTCTGACAATAGTCATCTAGGTAATGAAAAAAAAGAAGGTTAAAATCATTTACCATTCGAGTGGGTGAAAGGATTTGAGGAAATAAAAAGAATAAAGACTTAGAAAGGGAAATAAGACTATCGGCAGGAGAAGAAAAAAAATAAATATACTAGAAATTCCTAAACAGTATATATATAGTGGTATTTTTGTAAATAAGTTAAATTGTATAATATAATAAAAAATTTAGGTCTGGTCAGAGAATTCTTATCTCAAATTCAATTCTAACACGAACCCAAAAATTTTACACACTAAATTCGATCCAATTTAATCTAAATTCAAATTAAAAAAGCTTGTTCTTATCAGATCAAACCAGTCAAAACACGTCGAATCTGGATTAAATTGATATGCCTATTGGTAGGTTTAATTTAGTTAAGCTTAGAGATGGAGGCAATAAATGTAAATAAATAAAGGGTAATGTATACATTTAGTATTTAAACTATTGTGTTTTGGTATCTAAATATTATTATTTTTTCAATAACATATTTAACATTTAATTTAGATTTCAATTCAGTACTCTATCGTTAAAAAATTAACGGTAATATTAACGTGTCATCATAATATAATGTCGTATCATAATTGGAAAAAATTTAAAAAAATTCAAGTCAATAATTCTGTTACTTTTTTAATGATTGAATATTAAATTAAAACTTAAAATGAACGTTAGACATGTTTTTTTATAAAAATAAAATTTAGGTATTAAAATAGAATAAAAATAATGATTTAAGTGCGAAATGTAGAATTTACCCATAAATAAATGACACTAATTAAATACTGACCGGAGAAATACACGTGGTGATCGCCCTTACAAATAGAACTGGCCTGAGGTTAGATGGGGAGTGGGAATTTTCTCGTACAGCGAGCTTCTACTGCGTTTTGTCGGTACATGATATGATCTATCATCGTCATCACTTGCCACGTGTACGTTGGATGTTCTTTCTTTTTGTCTCGTTCTGCTCCTTTGGGTTCTATCATCTAATTCCACGTCACTGTTCACTCACTCAATTAATTGTCCATTCACGGTATTGCCCTCCCCACAATGCTACTTTATATTCAGCCGACCAACATTTGAACAATTTACAAATAGAACTTTTCATTCTGGATAACGCTGCGATGTAGGGACATAAACGTAAACCGATCCAGAACATTATCGTTATATTGGCACTAAGTGTGCAATTTAGCGGAGGGGAGTGAAGTTGTTCTAGAATGCGCTAGAAAGAGTTTATACAATAGGTGGCAGGTCTCACATTAACAAGCATGGAAGAAATAAATATCAAATAATGGGAATTTAATAATTACGTAGAAAAAAACAAATATTTAAAATATTTACACGAGATATCAATTGTTATAATCTAATATTGTAAATAAAGAAAAATAAATTGATAGGATTATCTTTATAATAAGTCTGCGAAATATATGATCTAAGTTAATTGATTAATATATATATAATTATTAATATTCAATTCATTAACTGATTAATATAAAAAATATATAATAAAAAATTATTATAAGATGATTATCATAATTCATATTATTCTAGTATCAATATTCAAACCTTAAATATCAATATAAAATCAATTAATCGGTAATTGATTTAAATATTAATTAAAGGCAATTGATAATTTTTAATCCATTTTTTATTTTTTAATTTCGTAAATAAAATTAACAACTCAATTTATATTATTGATTTAATTTTATTAATAAATATTAATTAAAAATAAATAATGTTTTTAGTTATGAAATTTTAAAAAATATTAGTTACCAAATATTTTATCCTATGTAAAAGACACAGAAAACAACAAATTTTTTTCATTTTTTTATCTGCGGATATGAAGCTCCGACGCTTTTGGAACACTTGGGACCAAGCCGGACTAATAATTCCAAAGCCTGGATCATCTCACAGCTCTGTCACTGAACGATTTCGAATCCATCTCTTCGTTAAACCACGTAGCATTGACTATTCAATTTTCCAGTAGACTTATACTTATGATAACAGGTGGCGGTCAGTAGAGAACTTTCACCTGTTATTAACTAAACATTGCTGTAACACCAACATTCCCCACATCTATATCAGCTCCTACAGTGATATTGCGGTCGAAAGCGGAAACATGCAAAATATACTACCTCATTGATTTTTTTAACCAACCATGATTAATATTAAACCTAACCATGGTTATTACACTCCTCCCAACTTTCCACTACCAGCCTCCGCTTTATAAGCCAATCAAACGTTGCCGGTGTTTAAGCATACAAATCTAACAAATACAAAGACGCCATTGAAGTCAAAACGAAATATATGATGCTAGGAGAAACCCATCATCCCAATCCAACGATTCATATTCCGACTTGGCCTTATATAGATGATCTGACGGCGGAAAACCACTTCGGCGATATCAGCAACCCGTTCGTCCTCCGGGAAGCGTTAGCGTCGCTGCAATGTTACTTGCCGTGGGAGGAACCGGATGTTGAGTTGAATTCTGATGAGCTCTCGGGTTTAGACAACCCGGATTCTCCGGTTGATGCTTACTCGTGCGATCATTTCCGAATGTTTGAGTTCAAAGTTCGGCGGTGCGTGCGTGGCCGGTCGCATGACTGGACCGAGTGTCCGTACGCTCATCTCGGCGAAAAAGCTCGCCGGAGGGACCCGAGGAAGTTTCATTACTCAGGTACGGCTTGCTCCGATTTCAAGAAAGGGAACTGTCGGAAAGGGGATTCTTGCGAGTTCGCTCATGGGGTTTTCGAGAGCTGGCTCCACCCGGCTCGTTACCGCACTCTGCCGTGTAAAGACGGGTCGGGTTGTCGGCGTCGGGTTTGTTTCTTTGCTCATACTCCGGAGCAGCTTAGGGTCGTCAACTTTGCTGGTTCTCATGATAGTTTACCGGCCGAGTCTTCACCGCCGGTTTTGCCTATGGCTCAGTCGCCTAGTTGTTCTCTCTGCTCGGCGCCATCCATTAACACTATGGTGGCTTCTTGGAGGAACATTCAGCTTGGTAAGGTCAAGTCTTTGCCTTCATCTGGTTTAGGGTCTCCCAGAGTGATCCGACCCTGTTTAAGTAGCCTACCTAACACTCCGACCCGAAACGTGCCCCGTCCTGGATTTGGGTACTTGGATTTCCGGGATGAAAGTTGTGAAGAAGAGCCGGTGATGGAAAGAGTCGAGTCGGGAAAGCATTTGCGTTCAAAAATGTTCGAGAAACTGAGTAAAGAGAACTCTTTGGAGAGGGTTAACTCGGGGGGAGATCCGGCTGTGGATTGGGTTTCCGACCTGGTGAACTGAGCAAGCTCGCTCGGGTTAAATATTCTTCGTTACTCAAGTTTCTTCTCTATGTAAATAGTTCCACAAGGATAAGTGAAGAAAATAATATTATAATATTGGAGATTTTCAAAATTCCTTGGGATATTTAGATCATCAAGTTGGAGATTATATGTAAATATGAATATTGTTCCCTGTCCCTGCAGAATGAAATTTCTATGAACTTCGTAACAATTAATTTAATATAATTAAAAAGCACCTGTTTGAGCTTTTGTTCAAGTACCGGACAGTTGTTTTATTTTGAGGATTTAATTTTATGTTTATTTCGAGAGACAATTTTATTTTTTATTTTATAAGTAATATTAAATATTTAAAATTTAATTTATAATTATGATTTTCAATTCAATTTTAACAACTAAAATTTTTATTTTTTATTATAAAAAATCATTTTTAAGTAAAACTACATTTTTATCTTCAATTATTTAATTTTAAAACTAATACCCATATGTTCAAATTATTTAATTTTAAACATTTTCATTGAGTACAAAATAATGTATTTTTATAATTTTTATAAATTAGGGTTTAGGGTTTACTCAACCCATTATAGTTATGCGTGGTTAATGCGTCCCTCTCATTCGAACGAGCCACCTTCCAGTTTATGGTTATTCCCGTCTCGGATTCGAACGCTGCCTAAGGTCAAGATTTTTGGTTGACGTTTAGCCTATGAGGCGTTGCCAGTTGGTCGTCGTCTTCTGTCTGCTGGTATTGGAGATGAAAGTTGTTGCATCTGCGGAGCATCTGATGAAACAGTCTTACATGCTGTCCTAGATTGTCCAGACGTTTTTTCAGCTTTGAGCTCTGCTCTGGTTATTCACCTTTCCTTTTGCGGCTCCCTGCTCCTTCCCGTCAAGCATGGTTAGAAATAATGATGAATGCCCTCACCACAACTCGGTTTGCTTCCCTCCTCGTGTTATTGTATTCACTGTGGCATCGACGAAACATTTATCTTCATGAGCATAAACAACTACCATCTTGGTTTATAGTGCCTGATAGTGAAGGACTCCAGGCATCATACCTTAATGCCGTGGGTGGTGCTCTTCCAAACACAACGGGGCAGCAACTGGCAACTTGGTGAAAGCCTCTTTCTGGTACCTTTAAGATTAATGTTGATGGAGCCTGTTCTTCCACAGTCTGCGTATGGCGTTGTCATCCGTGATAGTGAGGGGATGGTTATTTCTGGCTGTTCTCGGATTTTATCACCTTATGGGGATCCTGCTGTTACCGAGGCTGCTGCTTTGACAGAGGAAATTCGCTTTGCTATAAATCCTACACTTCCTCGTGTAGTTGTTGAAAGTGATGCCCTTAATCGCGTCCGCCAACTGCTTCACCGATTTCCTGACCTGTCGGTGTCAAACTATCACTTAACAGAGGCGAAAACCTTACCGGATGCTGCTCCTCACATTGAAGTCTGCTACGTTCGCCGGTCTGCAAATCGTGTGGCTCACCACCTTGCAACTTGGGCTGCTTCTACTGCTATTTCCTTGGACTTTACTTATGATTATCCACAATGCATAGCTATGTTTGTAATCCAGGATGCTATTAATGGTTAAATGAATTTGTCGTATTACCTTAAAAAAGTCGGATAGTAATATTTTAATTTAATATAAATAATAAATATTAAATTTAAAAAATATTTATAAAACTAACAATAACTATGCTCTCTAATTTGAATCCCAATAATGGTGTCCCTTCAACCGACGACCTGCCGAATGGCTGAACTTGAATGAAAACATGTGAATTGTCCATCTTATATCATACTTAGCCCCTACATACTAACCTATTCAACGAATTCATCCCCTAAAAGAACAGATAATTCTCCCATTTTAATTATTTTAATAACTCATTAATCTCTTTAAATTTAATTTCTTAATTTATAAATTACTCCATAAGTGTATGTTTACAGTAAATATACACTTATTACTGAGAAATTGCCCATACAAAAGCTGTCACCGTCCCACTGATGCAAATGTATATGTTTTTTTCCTTTTGAATAAAATTTTCATATTTTTTTTTTAATTTAGTCTTAATTTTTTCAATCGTCACCACCCGTCAACGATTTCAATAAAGTCGACGACTCCGACAAAGTCACCGTCAGTTACAGCCAATGAACATTTGGGCAAAAACATATGCATTTTTTTTAAACAAATGAACATTTGAGCTCAATCTTCTACCCATTGCAAAAGCAATAACAACAATCAAACTATAATCCAATCACTAAATTATTCAAACCAACAATCCTCCAGTTATTGAAAAAGTTTATTTTTTGGAGGTTCATACTTCATGAATTTAATTTCAGCACAACACCTCACAAGTATAAAGATACAGTTTCAGCATTCGAAATGGAATCAATTTAGCAGTGATGAAGCAGAAACTAAACCCATAGCAAGCCAATAATCAAAGGTAATTCAAAACAAAATCACATAATCTTTAGCTAACAAAATTGATGTTCAACTGGATCCTTGATAACGGTGGATAAAAACAAGTATCACAGAACATTACAAAAGAGAGGAAAAACAGACTTAATCCATTAAAGCTTCAAACAAGACTTCTTGCCTTCTTCAACTGCATCTCTCTTACTTCTCAGATGAGTTAGGTCCCCTCTTTTTGCCAAATCCCACCACTTCAACACCCATAAATTAAGATATATTACTCACCAAAATTAAGGCATGAAAATGCGAAACGCGTTTCTAAAAGAACGTAAAAATTCCAACAAAAAATAAGCATAAACAAAAACAAAGACCAATTTCATTTTTAGCTACGAAAAGAATTCCAAAAATATCAGATTCGTAATATCTAATCCAATTTGAATATTAAAAATTGAACAAAAAAAGTGAAAGGAGAGAAAGAAAGAATAATGACCTGCGGTGACGAAACGGCGGTTGTATTGCATCCTCTTGTAAGCGCGGCCACGGGGCTTCTTCTTCTTGTCTTGCTTCGCCACTTTAGGTGTTTGGCCTCTCACCTTACCGGCACGAGCTAGAGATCCGTGAACCTTACCTGAAATTATCGATGCGACCTAGCAAAATAAAAATAATCCAAGTACTAACAAAGAGAGCAAAGCGAGGAAGCTTGGGAGATTTACCCATGGCGGATTTGTCAAAAGATTGCTCTTTGGTTTCTGAACTGCTGGTTTTCTATCCTCTTGGATCTGGCGGTTGGCAAGAAATAATAGAGACTAGCGTTAGGGTTTTGGTGAGTGTATATAATGCTTATTGTTTTGGACCGGGTTAAGCCCCATAGTTCTAAGGCTTTGTTTTTTTGTAAACAAAAATAGAGTTTTGTTATGTTATCGTTAATTTGACATTTCCAAATATTTTTAATTTTGTATATTTTTTTTAAATTTTGTACTTTATTTCATAATAATAGATATAAAAGTTAAAAAATTAATTAATTAAATTTAATTTTATCTAACTTATAAAATGTATAAACTAAATCTAATAATCTATCAAAGAATAAAATGTGATAATAAAAAAGTTATATTTATTCATCGATTTGATAGTATAAACAAATATTATTATCCACTATGAAAAATAAAAATTATCAAAACTAATATAAAAAAAATTTGGAGCAACAACTATACACTAATAAACTGGTTTTATCACAAGTCAAATGTGACTTATCTTTGATCCATATGAGTTTTAATTAATAAAAGAGAATTAAATATGAAAATTTTCTACACTTATTTTTAGACCCGAGTCCTAATGTAGATTTGTACATGATTATTCAAAATTAATCCAAACATAATTTTTTGATCTAACACTAATATGAATATGAACATGATTACTCAAATTTGATCTGAAACCCAAAACAAATCAAACTGAACCAAAATTAACTTAAATTTTAATTTGATTGATTTTAGATAATATTCAATTTGACCCAAACAAAAATCTAACTCAAATTTAATTTGTACAAATCTAACTTGGATCAAATACCCATCTAACTTAGATGTGATAAATAAGTCGAATCAAACAAATAATCTATTATTATTATTATACAATAAAAATAATAAAATAAATTAGCTGACCCTATTCCCATAAGTAATGGGGTAAAAGGGTGAGGTAGGATAATAGGCTGCCCCAGGCCCCAACGCCAGGTTGAGAGCAGCTTACGTGAGAGACTTTCGACAATCAAAATTATGAATTGAATTGCCCACCGTGAGACTCAATCCCACAATCACAAGGTTAAGAGCCTTGCGCTCTTACCAACCGAGCTGAACGGGCAATTCAATAAATAATAAAATAGGGTACACTTTATTCTCCTTTTGCATTAAAATACTAATTAATCAAAACTATTAAAAAAATTTAAAATTTAATATCATCTTTCCTCTTTTAAAAGATTTATATCTAATCCATTAATTTTTATATTTTAAAAATAATTGATATAAAGAATTATAAACTCGGATCGTATTAATTATAATTGTTTATATAATTATATTTGAACCTCTTTCGAAAAAAAGATAATAAATTAACTTTTGATATAAATTGTATGTGATTTAGAAAACCATTTTTTGCATAAGATTCTGTATGCTAGATCGAGGGCTCAAAATGTCTATGGCAGCATATCCACCATTTAAGACCTTCGACCCGCCTGCAATCATTCAAGGACAATAAGAAGCTCCAACAATAGAGAATATGTTGCCATAGAACATCCGGGAGCAATTCCCCATACCGGTTAGACGATTTGCACATAATCCTGTCGAATTAACAGCATTCATATCTAGGTGGTTAAACTAGGTACTTTCTCAAATTTACGCCAAAGCATCCAACAAGATTGGCAACAACTATGATTTGTACTCTCTGGGAAAATTGAATCGAACAAGATTGGCACCTAATCCATTTAAAACAACAATAAACCAAATATCCGATGAAAACAGTAAGTCTCGGAAATTTGAAATAGTAAAAGACTAACCAAAACTCCAACACCCGGATGTAAACTTGTTGAGAAAAAATGCATATTTTCTTGAAGTAGAGATCAGGGATCACTCATTCATCATCATCGATGACCTTGGTACCCAAACCTTTGAGTCCTTCAGCTGGGATTTCAGCAACAGTTACTAGAGAGTAAAGCTCTTCCTTTGCATCTTCGTCGTCATTTCTCTTACGAGCAATGCGAACCCTAATCCTTCTCGGGACACTTCGGATCCCTCTGCTCCAGATGTGCTTGTTTAGCTTGACATCAACTCTCACGTCCTTGGTACCCATGGCCTTTTCTGCAAACTTCCTTATCTCCTTTATTGCCTTGGGAGCTTTCTTCTTGAATGTGCTGTTTCAGAGATTACCAAGTGGGTTGTTAAAACATTTATCACTCAGCCTTCTACAGACTAAGGGTGTAAAGGAAACAACTATAATTTCTTCCAAAAGCAATTTGATTGGGGAAAAGATTGAATCCTACTTGATCAGTTATCATTGTCAATTAGACATCAAACTCGAGCTTAAACGATTGAGTTTGAAGTCAAGCATGTGATGTTTACCAGGCAAACGAGAAAAATGAAACCTAACAATGTGAACTTCAGCAATTCAATATTTAATTTGAGCTAAAAGTAACATGATTAAAACTATTTCCAAACAATGATACTCTGCCACTAAATTTAAGATCAGATGTAGTAAAGATTAATTCACGAATCTATTGCTTTTAACAGATAAAGTACCATGAATCTAAGCCTTACAATCCCCATTTCTTATTCCTATGAATGAACATTACGTAGCCAACTAAAATCCCGGGTATAAACATGATAAATACGAAAAAAAAATCAAGGTCAAATTAAAAAATGAATTGAAACAAATAATTGGAATTCTGAATAAAAACGTATAAGCCTAGAAAAAAATCTATTTTCAAACCAAACAGACAAAGATCGACAAAGCAAAGAGCAGAATACTATGGGGGGGGGGAAATGAAAAGCGATCAAAGCTATGAATGAAAATCGTTAGAAATAAAGAGAACAGTAAAAAATTACCAGCCATGGAGACGCTTGTGAAGGTTGATGGTGTATTCTCTGGACACTACCTCCTCCTTCCTTCCCCTTGTTTTATCAACCATTTTTTAAGCACAATAAGCACAGTAGAAAGCTCCAATAGAGAATAGAGGCAACAAAAAGGAAGACGGAAGCTTAGCAGAATATATTGATGCCTGAATCTAGGGTTTTTCAGAGTTCGCCTGTTTTGGGTTCTGAAACCTAACCCAAACCATCTCTTTAGGCCCATAGCCTTCCTTTTAGACAGAAATAGATCTTTAATTCGATGTTTCGGCCTAACCCAAATCATTTTCTTTATTTATTTTATTTATGTGCGAATTTTGTGTCTTTTTAATAATATTTTATACTTCATTTGAAGTTTATTGTTCGATTTATTTGATGAATATTTATATATTTTTTTATAAATCGGTTGTAATATATTCAAAAGAAAAGTAACAAGTTGCTACAATAAAGAGTATCACCTAAAACACAATACACGACTCACAAACTTCAATACGTACAAATATTAAAATTTACAAGATCATTCCTATTAATATATCTACCCTATAATCTATCTCGTATGATAATCTTTACTAGATTAAAAATATAAATTTAGATCAATCATTGTCAAAATAAATTTTAAAAAATTATATTTAAATACCATAATAATTAACTTGATTAATCCACGCTAATTAAGTGTTTTTATTTTTAATTAGTATTGAAAAAAATTCAAATTGAATGAACAAGTAATCAAATTAAAGATCAAGTGGAAAATGGGACTTACTTTTATTAAATAAAATAATTTAATCAATCTAAATTAAATATTTTAAATTTGAAATTACATTAAAATGAATTTTTGGGTCTCTAAATTCACTATCTTTATCTAGATTAGTAGGCAGAATTACATTAGTGTAAGCGACCTATCATAGGCTCATGTGGGAGGTGTGCAGACATTAGAAATTAAATGGATGGCATACGTTGGCCCATTGGAAAAAAAATATACGAAGATAGTTTTGGATCCGTGTCTTTCGTATCACACCCGTGGTTGAGTTATATAGGGTTGGACACTAATTTTTATTAGGTTTCGTGAGAATCTAAAAGTTCTCGCTACCCCTTGGATCATGAGACAAATATATCAAGGTAATCATATAATAAAGGATACATAATAACTAACTTGTTCGAAGAATGTTCCTTTTCAGTATCATACAATCTAACAATCAAATAGTTAGATTATGCTTATGACAGTTGGATTTAAATTTAAATTCAAATTTGTGAAAGGTCAAATTCGACTCGATTTTAGCCCTAGTCTTACCGAGAACTAATGACTAAGGTATATTTTTTTAATAGTTTAAAATGATTATAATGTGGTATATGTTCATAATCTTTCTTAACTATTAACAATATTAACAACGTATTTTACCGAGAACAACATTTCTTTTAACTAATCACATCATCCAATAAGTTGATTACCAGAATATTCTTAAATCTCTAATACTTAAGTATCGGTTTGATGCAGTGTGGACAAAAAAGGTGAATTAAAGGTATCGAGGTGTAAAAAAAATATAAAATTTTCTTCACAAAATAAGAAAAAATATTCTCCATCAAATGGAGTAAATAATTTAAAAATATTATCCATTAAATGGAGTAAAATTTTCATCCTGCCTGGTCCTGCGTGACTGGTTCAGTAAGATAGTCATATCTATACCTTTCATCATTGTTTTCACAGCCGTTTCAATAGAACATTTCTTAGAAAATCCATCTTCCCAATACTCTCGCACTTTCTTTATGCAAATTTTAAAATCTTCATGACATTTTGAGTCAATCCAACCATAAAAAAATGTAAAAAGTAGGAACAAATATTAATTATCAAGTAAATCAGTGAATGTTAAACATAAAATTATGAAATTTTAACTCTATTATTTTTTTTTATCTTTGTTTTTATGTTTGGATGGTAAAATGGCTTTCTGGATCAAAAGAATAAATTATAATAATAAATGTGGAGCAAGAATGAAGACGAAGTCGTTGATTTAAGGTGGGAAACGGAGCCGCCAAAGAGCTGTCCAAATAATCACGTTTGGGTGTGTGAATGTTGCATGTCCCATACACCTCCATCAAGTCGCATACCTGAAGAGACAAGTCTAAACTTCTCCCATCATTATGCAATGTTATCAGCCAACTTTTAGTGATTCTCTTTGACTATCCAATATTCTCACTACGAACTCTAAACCAATAATTCTGTTTGGTTCCCGAGAATTTATTTGATATCTAGGAAAGAAGCAAAAAAACACAAGAAGGCCAACGCACCAATTTTCATTTTAGTCATTTAACACAAAAGCAAGGCTTCAGCTGGCAATTTGGGACCAACCAACGACAAAGAAAAAGGGAAATTCAAAGGGTATACAAGAAAAAATGTCAGTGATTGAACGGCCAAGATGGAAAGATTCTTGATCCACAAAAGGATATCGAATAGAACTGAGTTCCAGGTCGACCAAACTCGTGAGTCAATTAACCTTCCTTTCTCGTCTCCTACAGGAATCTATCATGGAAGCAAGGCGTGTCCTTCTCGGACTCCTCGGTAGTCCCAAACGTAAAAAACCGCCAAAGTTTCCGACCCAATCTGACCCCAACGGACAAACTTGTCTGATCTGTTATTTTCTGTTCTTTCCCCCCCCCATACTGTTCTTTGTACAGTAGATCTCTCTCTCTCTTCTTTATATTTCTGGGTCTTGAAGGTGTTTGCTGAAATGAGAAAGAAAGGAGAAGGAGAAGAAAGAGAGATATGTATGGTCTTTGATGGGATCATACAATCCATGCCTTTGTTTGCAAAGGAATTGGTTGCTGGTGGCGTTGCTGGAGAGCTCGCAAAAACCGCCGTTGCTCCATTTGAGCCTGTCAAGATTTTGTTTCAGGTAAACTCTGAAACTTCTCTTGATTTCTTAGTACTTGGCTATGTTGCGTTTTGATTCTGTTTCCCAAATGGTTTTAATCCATAGTTGAATTTCGAGCTCAAAATGACTTTTTTTTGAACTGTAAACTCGAAAATGTTCTACCGGTGAAGATCAAATGAGTTATGAGGTTATTTATTACTAAGCAAAAATGGGTTATTTTCTGAAAATCGTAACATCAGTTGCTGATGAAAATGAGTAGATTAACATGTGAAACTCTATCAATATTGATATTTTGATCTTTTACAATATTTGGTAACGGTCGAATGTGCTAAGATGTCACTTTGTGTCAACAAAAGGAACTGATTCGGTAATCGGTTTCAGACGAGAAGAGCAGAATTCCACAGCGTGGGCCTCTTTGGATCATTCAAAAAGATTGCAAAGACAGGAGTAATGGGATTTTACAGGTCCAATTCATATCCTTTAACATGGAGCTGATTCTGAAAGTTACTTATCTTCATTTGCTTACTTAATTAACGGAGAATGTCTGTAGAGGAAATGGTGCTAGTGTCGCTCGGATAGTTCCCTACGCCGCACTTCATTACATGGATTCTGAGCAGTACCGAAGGAGGATCATCAATAGTTTTCCCGACATCACAAGGGGCCCTGTGCTTGATCTCGTGGCTGGATCATTTGCTGGTGGAACTGCTGTGCTTTTTTACTTATCCTCTCGATTTGGTTAGGACTAAGCTTATCAGGTAAGTAGTTGAATATAAAGCCAGAGTAATCGGCTCCTATCCAGTGTCTCTGCTACATCTTCCTAGATCTCTCTGTTTCTCTGATCATGTTATATTGGTTAATGCAGGTTGTTGCTCTACCAAAGATTAATGTGAAAGGAGTAGCTAATGCAGAACAAGTTTATAGTGGAATTCTTGATAGTTTTCAAAGACTTACAAAGGGTCGGGGCTCAGAGGTCTCTATCACGCCATGTATGTATATATGTATGCAATCCGAAATCAATTTTTGCTGACAGAGAAGCAAAAACTTGTTTAATGTGAACAAATATTTCAATGAAAAAAGGTTTCTATTGAACTTAAATTTCATTGAATGGATGTTTAGGGTTCAACTACAAGCACAGTATGAAATCGGAAAACTTTCCACGATGTCATGATGCAGCAGTTAACAATAAAATCCAAAATCAATTCAAGGGTTTCCTACGGCTTTACCAGTAGTCACCACAAGAGCATTTACCATCCTTGAAATGATGGAATCGCTTGTTGTCCCGCACAATCAACTCTCTTCCTACAATCTTTGACATGATTTTGATTGCATTGTGGCAATCTCCACAAATTCTCAGATTCTTAATGATCCTAAGAGGTGTCCTTGCCGGAGTACTAATAAGACCATAAGCAATGGCCAATCGCTCGCTATGGTATTGCAGGGCTTGCTCTTTTGCCTCTTCATCGATGTCATGAAGCACATACCTTGTATCGGGAATGTACCCGGCTTCCCTCATCTGACCATTCAAGCCTTTGAACTTCTCACTTGCTTCTCCCTTGAAAGGGTTCATACACCTATATTCACTCACTCTATTCTTCTCCTCAATCATGTTAATCATAGAAAGTTTCTTCTTCGGTCGTGCTTGTATTTTTTTCTCACTGCTTATAGAAGGATCAAATTCAAGCAACAACTCCTCAATATGATCTTCAAGGTCAATATCTCCATGAATTTGTGCAAAACCCCGAATTGCCTGCCAAATCTCTGTAGTCGGCTCAATCGGCATATTCTCAATGAACTCCACAGCCTCATTCAAAAACCCAGCTCTCCCGAAAACATCAATAACACTGATGTAATGTTCAATCCCCAGAGCAACCTTATATTCATTCTTCATCAATTCAAAGTACTTTAGTCCCTCCTCAACCTTGCCTACACTGGCACAAGCTGATAAAACAGCAAAAAAAGTCTCGTTGTCCGGCTGAACTCCACCGTTTCTCATTTCTTCAAATAACAACAGCCCATCATCTCCACTTCCATTCACCGCATACCCATTTATCATCATCTTCCAAGAGGCCAAATTCCGGACACGCATTTTATCAAACACCCTGCGAGCATCTCTCACACTAGCGCATTTCCCATAAACACCTATCAATTTATTGTTCAATTCGATATCACCCGCAAACTTCGATCTTCTCAAGAAATCGTTAACTCTTTTGGATAATTCAAGCGAATTTATATCAGCACAAGCATCCAGTAAAGCCTCGAAATCATTATAATCCGCTAAACCTCCTTGACCCATATAATCTAAAGCGTCCTTAACTTTACCTTCTTTGCATAACTTCATTAAATCCACGGCAATACTCTGATGTGTCGGGTTTTCAGGAGATGGGTGATTTCCATCTCGATTTTCAGTGTTGAATTTACGAGGGTTAGGCCGATTTCTGGCGGTTTGGCGGTGATTAGTGGCACCATGGGGACGATAAGCCCTGGTAGAGCTGTTGCTTTTGGTGTGATCAGATGCCAAGCATAGAGGGCTGAGTTTGATGGACCTTTGAGAAATACAGAATTTTATTTTGTTGTCGAGAGCAAAAGAGTGCTTGATGGTGATTGGAGACTTCAAGTTGGAAGAGAAGGTAATGGAGTTTCCCGTGTTTCGAAGTGGCACTAAAGACGCCATTGTTGTTTTGCCTGCAGGCTCCTGGATGTTTATACATTTATGATATTTTCTCAAACACTACACCTCCTAAACGACAGCGTTTAACCCAAGTTTGTTTATTTATTTCGTGTAAACAAAACCTGTTATCCAATCATATTACAACACGTTTCTTTATTTTCTTTCTCTTCGACAGCTTTAGTCACAGTTAAAGATGACTACAAATTGAAACAGTTCATAACCCCTGGAATTTGGATCAAGTTATCAAATTTAATAACCACTCGCCATCACCATTGATCGTCAATGTGCGATGATTTCACGTATTGATTATGTACCACGACATCCCTTTTCTACGAATTCTCTAAAATAGAAAGAAATCAAATTTTACAAAAGTATAAAAGAATCCAAATGAAAAAAAAAATCAGTGAATATAGAAAATTCTCAAATTAATTTTATATAGCCTAAGAATATGAATGAAATTGAGTGGGAAAGTAACCAAATTTCATTAAAATTATAATAAACTCCTTTTTTTAATAATAAAAAAAATAAAAAGACCTCGTTAGAAACCTAAAGAAAGATATTGAATTCCCTGCTTTGAAAGGAATTGGTAGAGAATCAACTGAAACCGGCTTCCATATTTTCTTAAGAAGAAAAGGATGTCGGATAAATAAGAAGATAGAGGGATAGGAACGAAGTGACAAGACTGTAAGGAAAGGAAAGCGTTCACGTGGCGTTATAAAACCCGTTACGGAGCCTGGCGAGGAAAGGAAAGCGTTAGGAGCGTGGTTGTTCTAAGCCGTTCGTCGCATGATAAATTCATTCAGGCTCAATCGAAAGCTTAACCGAAAACAAACTAGGATTTGTATCTGGACATTGGAAGGAGGAAAAGAGTGTTCATGAAATTTATAATAAACTTGGATTTAATAAAAATGGTTAAGAGAGTCATCAAGTAGAGTAAAATTGACTATTTTACTGAGGAATTCATAGATTTAATAAAAATGGTTACAAGAATAACTAGAGTAAAATCACATTCTTTTATTGCATTGTAGTCGTTTACTCCTCGTTATTTGAAGCGGTTATCCATTACATTTTAACACCAGTCTAGAACCTTTCGGACAAAAGAAATGCGTGTCTACTCGAAAAGCTAGATTACTACAAGAGCAATATCAGAGGGTAACTCCATTTTGGATAGCAAAAATCATCAGACAAATATAACAATCAGCATCCAGCTAATACAACTTGTTCTTCAATTGCAATCAACTATGTCTAACACCTTTATTCGATATAATTCTGCATCATGAGTATAGAACTACAAGAAAATACTTAGAAAATGTTGAATATACCCGTATCTGACACTTAAATCCCGGGGGTTTGAGTAAAATAGAGCCAAGTATATGACAGAAACTGAATGCAATTTTAACAGGTTCAACACCATAGCATGCGAAAACTGGACAACTTTGAAGTATACTAATAACAAACAAAACTAAATCAAATTATTCAAATGATATAATCTGACCATTCAGAGATGAATGAAGTGTGATCCATGGATTCTCCGGGGCATTCTTCATGCCTTGACGGTTTCTCCTTCCCTCCAACAAGCCTTGCAGGGTTTCCTACAGCTGTGGTCCGTGGTGGCACATCGATCAGCACCACTGACCCTGCTCCAATCTTTGCACCCTCCCCAATCTTCACATTCCCTAATATGGTTGCACCGGCCCCTATCAAAACTCCATCCCCAATCTTCGGATGCCTATCCCCCACAGGCCTTTCCAGTCCCGCCGAGGGTAACATGATGCAAAATTGACACATTGTTTCCAACAACTGCGGTTTCTCCTATCACCACCCCGGTGGCATGATCGAACAAAATCCCTTTCCCGATCTTTGCCGCGGGGTGTATATCAACAGCAAAAACATCAGAGATTCGAGAGTGTAATGCCAAGGCTAGCGGCCTGCGTGACTGAGTCCACAGCTTGTGTGCAACTCGATGAGCCTATAATTACACAACTTCTAGATATTATTAAAAAGAAATTCCAAATTCCATCAATTTTCTATTCTTACGAACAAAATTCAAGGCTTTATACAAATTCCTTTTCACAGCATTCAATTAACAATAAGAAAATCAGTTTAGATTCAAGTCAATCGGGAAATTTCGACCCAAAATTAAGCATGTATAAAGTTTAATGACTGATACAGAAACTTAAAATTGTAAACAAATAACTGAATAGGGTTCAAGATTCCTAAATTTCAACAAACAAGGGATGAAGCACTAGGTTCCTTAGTCAAAGTTAGAATTCGAATCATGACATTTGTGATGGGTTGGGAGGGTCGCACTCACCTCTTTCGTATCCTATCTGAATTAGTTGATTAATAGATCCGATACCAGTTATTAATTCAAAAAAAATACTAAATTTCGTAAGAGGAAATTGAGAAAATGAATTTACCTGACATGCCAGGAATCCTTTATAATTGAGTAGGCAATGAGAGAACGAAACACAAGCAGGATCCCTAACGCGAGCCGCACGGAGATCGACGGCGGCGGCTCGAAGCGAAGGATCGGAGGAGAAAGTGTTGAGAAAAAGGTCGTAGAGGAGCGTAGACAGGAGCGTGGAGGAGCAGAGCTTGTTGCCGAGATGGAAGGAGAGCGAGCGCTCCAGAGAGGAGTGAGAGAGGATCGTCGAGTAGAGGTAGCTAGCTAGAGCCGGCTCCAACTCGGCGTCGCGACGTGCCTCGGCTTTTATCTGAGCCCACACCCACGCCTCGTCTTCTTCCATGGGTGTTTCCGTCGCTTGAGAAACCTGCGGACAAGAGACAGGGCAAGGGTACCGTAGTTCTCCGGCCGGCATTTTTTTGGCGATGAAGAATTGAAGGGCAGAGATTTTACAGTGAAATCGTTCGCATTAGCCTTTACGTATTGCATCATTTCACGTCTTCTTCTGGGGTAGCTGGAGCTGACACGTGGAAGATTCACTCCAATCGTGGACTGTATGTAATTTCCATTTTTTTGTAAGAATACTGAAAAATAAAGAATTCTACTAAACAATTATTATTATTATTATTATATATATATCATAACAATATACTTTACTAATATTTTCAGGATTATATAACTATTTATATATAAATTTATTTAAATTTAATTATAAAAGTATATTATCATGGATTAGGGATTTTATGGGAATTGTGTCGAGTATTTTTTATTCATAAAGCTAATAGGTTTAGATTTCTTTTTCAAAATTAGTTGGATTTAATAGACTATTTGTCATGTAAGAAATTCGTACATAATCATGACAAAATCAAGTGTTTGGACAATAAATCTGTCACTATACAACATGCAAGATATTTCCCAACCAGCCTCATCCATTAGATCAGCCAAGGCCGAAGGTAGCAACACCCATCTCTTCCACTCGTTTACTATAGTTGTTCTTTGCATTTCCTTTTGTAATTTTCTTTTGCTCCACCAAATATAATTTTGTCGTTACGAATTACAGAATATGATCTTTTCATATTTTTTTTTTCACAAAAGGCAAACAATAAAGTAACATTATACAACTTGATCGTGATAATTTCAGGGGGGAATTCATTAATGGCCAAAATTATTTAAAAGGTTGATTTCACTGATTTTTTTTTTCAAAAACATAATTTGATTTTCAAAATTTGTGAGGTTCAGGTTGTTGATTTTTTCCCTTTTACCTTTCCTTAGGAATCAGGATTTCAATTTCCCTGAATACAAAATTCAAGGGACCGGATAAAATTAAAGTTTCGCACAAATCAACAGAAGAACGAGAAGCATTATATTTTGTTAAAATTTCACGGTTCTCGACCATTCCTGCAGGGCATTTTTTCACTCTGTCACAAACGACTCAAAGGACTTTAACATACCAAACAAAATTTTATTTATAACATTTAGAAGGTTAAAGGGATGAGATAAAATAATCGATGGAAGCGAAGGGGGAACATTACAGAATGGAAGCTATTTTACAAAAAGGTCATCTGTTTTAGTGTGATGACCCTGAACTGAGAACGCTAATATCATATATATATTCTGTTCATATGTCAGGGTTGGCTTATTTTTTTCCTTCTTACAACAGGTTTTGGTTTGTCAGAAATTGGCATTGTAAATGAGCACAACATACGAAGATCTTTGCACTAGAAAAGAACCTGTTTTGTTTACTCGGTCAACTTGCTTTTGCAAATCTAGGCAGCTGTCCTCCATACCCCATCAAGAGAATGCTCAAATTTTGCATTTCCTTTGTTTTCTTGTTCACTTTTTTTTTTTATTAATATCATGAATCTTGAGAGCCTTGGACCAGCAAAGTAATACGCTTTGAACTGTCTTTGAACTGTCCGTGCGGAAACTATTGCTTTGCTTACCACTGTCTGAGCGGTTATTTTGCTTACCACTGTCTGAACGAAGTCCGTCTCCTTTAAAACCGATCTGAGAGGAAATCATATAATAATCTCAAAACACTTGTTGCAGCAAGAATTTAGGTAAAAGTTTACAAGAATAACAACCCTCTAATTCAGTTTTATCTTATTCGAACTTAAACATCAAAAGCAGATTACCTCGCTCTGGCTATCAGGGGGGAACCACCGCAAGAGCACGCCAAGAGGAACAACAGCTGGAATGAGCTTCAAAAGCAATGTAGTCACCTGCACGTTTATATTATGTTCAATTCCATTTTAACAACGAAAGAACTTCCTGCACATTTATATTATGTTCAGTGACAAAAAGAACTCCCTGATATTGGGTGGTTGCAGCTAAATCAGCTACCTAAAAGTGATGGTTTCAAAACAGAAATAAAATTTGTTAAATGATTGTGTTGTTTTTTATAGTCATAAAATATTGTTCTTTTAACTTGTATGCAGGAAGAAGCCACAACAGACATTAATTGCATTTGAACAGGTTTTAACTACCAATTGCATGTCCGGTACTCGAAATTTTAAAAAGAAAAACAGTAGAGATTCTCGAATGTAAATACTTTTTTTAAGATAATATAATGACATGTGAAAGCAAGACAACAACAGTTGGCATACCAAACTAAAAGCCATTGTGCCCAAAAGTAGCAGGTAAAGTTTACCCTGCAGCAATGACAAAAAATCAGCAATATTATCAAGGAAGCCATGAAACAAGAAAAACAAAATAAAAGAACCGAATTAATTGTTGAGAAAAATTATAGGGTCTAATTAACAGCACTTAACATCGATTAAATGATAAATAAAGTATTGGCATACAAACCTCAACTAGATGAAGATTAGAAGCACGGCTGAGAAGAACAAAAGCAAATTCTCCAATTTGAGCCAAAGACATCCCGACCTACAAATTAAGTTGAAAGAACTAAGAGAACTTTACAAAATGGGAATGTATACCTAAGTAGAAGCCTCAGAACGTACAAGAAGTGAAGTTTTATTGCTGTATCTAAATCCTTTGACAACTGCTGCAACTACCATTGTTTTAATAACAATCACCAATATTACAGCTGCTAGCAATATGTCGACATGATTCCAAAGAAAATGTACATGAATCAACATCCCAATACTGGCAAGGAAAAGAGCAGCAAAGAAATTGCGAATGGGCTCCACCTGTATATAAGATATAGAGAATCAAGGCAGAATCTTGCAAGTCAGGTATTAATAAGGCAACGGCATTGAGTTGATGCAGTTTCTTAGTTCACAGTAAAATCAATAAAACTGAATGAAAAAGATTCACAATTTTGTAATTTGGTACTCATATTAACAAATAACAATAATGTTCTCAATCATGCAGCACAAACCAAATTATACTAAGGGAAAATATGTTCCGGTAAGCAGAAAATATCAACTAAATTAGTAGAGACCACACCAAGATGGATAGAATAGTGCCTGAGCCTTGATAGACACGAGTTTGCTAACTGCCAACTAGTATGCTAGTACCGCCAATTACCTTTCTACAAGAGCCATTCATCTTTACACCATCAGTAATGATAACACATTCTTTAAAGCAAAAAACTTTATAAGAAGACTACAAGAAAAGCATAAGTAACCAGACATGGGAAGTTCTGGAAAGGGTACAAAGAATTAGAACTCTTACTTGTTCAAGTGTATGCTGGCCCAGATCAGTGGTTGATATCATCACTCCAGCAGCAAACGAGCCTAGCTCAAGACTTAGACCCAGCTTATCACTACACTGGAATGTCACAAGTTATGTTAAGTATATGCATACACATGTAAGTAGAGTGCTAAGTGACTGAAAGAAACATGGATCTTATTGGTTGAAAATGAAGTTGTAAGAATGAACAAGTTCAAAATGTACAGCAACTAATGCAACAAAATGAGACGGATCATTCTGATGATTATAATGGACAACATAATTATAATGCAAGAAGTAAGAAGGAAATGAACGAACCCAAGCAACAAGCAAGCAAAACGCCACAGATGCCAACTGATAGAGCTCATTGGTCTGAGAAAATAAATATGTCAATATCTACAAAGATTAATAAATTGAACCAATTAATGCATATTACCTGTGATGATAAGCTTATCATAAGCCTGAGAAACCATGGCAAACAAGTCCGAGATAATACACTTAAAATCGCCAGAAAAGTAATTAAAATCACCAACCTGAAAATTGAAAGAGAAAATTCAACCTACAAAAACGGATGACCTTTGCCACAACTACATCGAAGAGAGCTGATCCTACACTTTTTTTCACTTACGATTTAGTCATTGATAATACACCTTGAAGAATGCCAGAACTGCCACCTAGGACCGGAAATAAAGCAAACAGCAAGCCCACAACACAGTCCTGCAAACCCATGATAGTTCAAAATATCATGCTTGCTAAGCATCTACGCTCAAGTCAAGTAAATAAAACCATGATAGTTAAAAATTTCATGCTGGCTAAGCATCTATGCTCAAGTCAAGTAAATATTCTTTTAACTGATGTCGCGACCAAGAAAATAAGTACCTGTAGGATAAGAGTACCAATTGTCACCTGACCATGAAGGTCATTTAAACTATTCCTTTCCATTAAAAATTTCAAAACCTGGAATCATAAACAGACCAGTCATGACAAGCATGAAAAGAAACTAGTATATGGAACACCAAAGTTTGCATAATTAATTCCTTGAACAAGCACTTTTCTCAATCAAAATTGAGAGAGATACCACCCTACCAACTAAAGATATGTGTGAACTGTGAAATAGTAAAAGGATTTAGCATTCAAGTTCTCAGTCAACAACGCAGTTCATAGAGGTTTACCACTGTTGTAGAAGACAGAGACAAGAATGCACCAACAAAAACCCCTTCTGTAGTTTAGCCAAAGCTGGTATTGGCTAGTTTTACATTTGTGATTTGCTTTTGTAGTCTTTGGGTTGGATTATGTAAAGGGAGTGTTTATGTGTTGTTGTTAAACATTATGTATATTGTGGTTTTTAATGAATCCTAAGGCACTCTTTTCCTCCTTCCGCTGATTGAGAAACACTTAGTGTTCCATTAATCATGAAGGGGGTTTTTAACGAGGCCTACATTCCTATCAAAAAAAAAAACCCCTTCTGAAGGTTTACCTCCACATAACTGCAAAAAGCATGTAGCTGCATCCATCAAAAACTCATAGCTAATAATATGAGTAAAGGGGAAGGAAAACACTGTAATACTAGCGAAAAAAATGAAAAAGAAAGTAAAATTGCATATCTTCTCCAATAAAAAAACAGCACTTAATGACGCCTCCATTTTTGTTTACATACTACTAATACGACTGTAAGACAACCATAAAGACAAATTAGATACACCGATAACTCAAAAGCCAAAGCCAACTCCACAGGGGTAAACATTTTCTTTTGCATACAGGGCCAGGTGAAAACCACACCTGTAGTATTCGTAGGACCCACTAAAAAAATAACAGCATGCAAGTAGCAGCATATTCCGACAGTAATGAGACACATCAGGAAGCAGTAAATCCAGCCTTCAGATTGCTATTTAAATGAGAGACTGACAGAGAACACTACTATGCAGAATGCAATAGTAGAATGAAAAGCGAATGTGAAAACTGAGAGAGAAGAGGCATGAAAAGATAAAGAGATGAGCCACATCCCAAACCAAGAAGAAAAAACCCCCATATATCAGAAGCAGCACATGAGGACAACACCTTGATTAGTGAAAATTTGGAAGTTCAGTTATGTCCTATAATTGTCAATTTACACGTAAGAAATATTCAACAGCTGAATAGCCTCTCAAGAATATATAAAAGAAAACTCAGTTTTGCAGGGTAAATATAAACCTCATATAATAAGAATCAAAATTAAAGAAATGCAATGAATGTTAAAGACTTTATATAACATATGTTACATAAAATACTTACAAAAAAGATAGACATACCGTGACTGTTGTACCACACAAACACATGAATAGAAAAAATTGGAGAAGGCCTCCAAGGACAGCAACTGCTCGAACAACACGAAGCTACAAGATGCGTTGCAAGGCTAATATTATAGAATAAAGGGAATGAACATAATATGGAAGGACCAGGCAATGAGAAAACCTTTGTTATTGAAAACTCCAAGCCTAAAGCAAAAAGAAGAAAGATTACACCGAATTGAGCTACTGTTTCAACCTGAATCATGTGCAAATAAGAACATTTGTCTTGATATAAAGACCGCCAATGAATAAAATTAGAAATATTAGAACAATGACATTACTAAAGCTAAAGATAAACTCCCAGATAACATTGAAGCAAAAGCAACATACTTGCACCATTTCACCAACAAAGCTAAAACCACCAGGCCCAATAATAGATCCTGCAAGTAGATATCCAGTAATAACTGGAAAATTGAAAAGGAAGGGTGAGACTCTCCTTCAGGGGAAACCAATCATTGTGAATCAAAAAGAAGTCACGCTAAGCTTTTAATTAGAGACCGTAAATGAATATAACAAGCCGCACCAAATTGAGATTGAAAATATAAGAATAAAGAAATAAAAGGTATGGCAACAATACCGGTTGTCCAGCACAAGCAAAAGCAATGCCACCACATGTTACAGAGACAATGAAAACTACCAGATCTGATATTAATCTGCACATGGCATTCTTTGAATCATAAAAAACTTGCTTCCATAACAATTGTAACAGCATCAAATTCAAAACTAAGTACAAAATATATATAACAAAAGTCTAACCTTAAGTCTAGTTGTAGAACAGGATACTTTGATTTTGGGTTGGATATTATAAAGACATTATCCTGAGGAGAGAAATCTTAACATGATCAATAAGCAATATACTTCAAACCTAACAACAGAAAAAGTATAATCGCTTGAAGCAGCATCACTGCAATTCAATATAAACAGAGGCACATTATCAAATGACAAAGTTTCCTGAGACATTTTCTGAACATACATTTTGATTTATCAAAGTCGGTGCATCATCTGCTCGATTTTCATTATCCAAATAGAAAACATCATGGAACCGAAATGACCTGACATAAGGCTCAGAAAAAAAAACGCAAGCTGTCCATTAATGAGGGTTAATGAAGCGAAATGCCTACAATTAGACCTATACTGATAACTATTATGATTTCTTTTACTGAAGAAAATAATAATAATAATAACTTACTTCTCTTCCTTGGTCTCATTTTTCTTGGATTTAACCCTAGCAACAGTTTCCAAGACAGCCTAAAATAAACAAACCAATTGTGTTACCACCACCCAAGAGCAAAAGATTTTCTTTAAAACTCTATAGAAAATGTCAAAAACAGACAAGTAAGATATAGTTCACTCCGAAACAAAATAAACTGTCGTCTGCTATCACCAGAAAATAAAACCCTCATATTTATTGCAAGAGTGGCAGGGTTATGAGTTCTGATCTCAAAGGTTTGTCTCAGTTGAAACTTGAAAACTATAACAATTATTTTCATTTCTATGATAGTCCTTTAAACACTCAAACAAAAATTGCAATTTAACACCAGCCGACTGACTTAAAGATTGCTTTCAGTTCCAAAGTGGAGTGTATACCATGCAATGCAACAAAAAAAGATTTCTTTCGAGAGCTTTGAATGAGCACATAACTAACGAATAATTGCAAATGGAAAAAAAATGAATGATTCAATAATGCTACTAGCCTACTACGAACCTGCTTCCCGCAACACTATTGTTGAAACTACCAGGATCAGTGGCTGCAAAAGAGAAGAATTAGTTAGAATTTCCAATAATACGGAACAAAAGAAAATAGAGGAACTCGATGAAGCTTCGTGAGCTTTTATCATATGATTAAAACCAAAAAATAGGAATCCTATTTTTTATGTCTTATTTTCACCGCAAGTTCAAAAGTTCTTTATGGTGTTAAAAAAAGTTCTTTATGAAAATACTCACAAATTCCAAATAAAATACTGTGAACTACTTATCCAAACATATATTAATATTGCGGGAAACAAAATAAATATTAAAATTAAACAATGCACTTGAAAATACACAATTCAGAGAAATTGAAGGAAATTTAAGCTGATCTAAGGCTGCAGAAACCCTGCTCAAACACCATTAATATAGAAACAAATGCAAATGCAAAGAAGACAGGTTGAATGGAAGCTCAGATCTAGAACGGACCTTCATTTTGGTCGGTGTCATTAAACTCCTTCTCAATTGCGCGATCGATCTTGTCGGCGAAACTATCCTCTTTGGATCTCGAATCCGACACATTGGACTGGGAAGCGGTGACATTGATCTCCGCCGCCGTCAGGGACTCGGCGTCGAAGGGGGCGGCGAAACCGAATACCACGAAGAGATCGAAAACGAAGAAGAGAGCGGCGAGTCTCCGCCTCATTGCGGAGGTTGAGAGAAAGGTGCCTCGAATAGCAGAAGCGTAAGCTAGCAAAGCAAAGATTAAGTGTGTTGGATTTGCGACTTTTGCCGTTTCTTCTTTCTCCTTCTCTCTGGTTCAGAACGAGAGGGAAAAATGTTTTTTTAGTTAGCTTGGAAACGGAGGTTGAGTCAAAATTACAAAAAGGTCCTTCAAGTTGAGATATTATACTACATGAATTAGATGCTGATCCGACTACTACGAGCCAGACTATGCCGCGTGTGGACAACTCCGTATTTTGAAGATTTGCAGTTAACAATGTCCATTAAAAATGGAATCCTAGAAAGGTACCGAGAGTGGTTGGGCTGTGATTTTCACGCACCCCGGAGAAAAACTGGGATTTGTTGGGAATCTGGAAAATGTTTTTGTACGGGCCACAGGGACATTTTTAAGGTAAGCCCAAACGTCAGGCCTCTATCTTGTAAATTTCGAGTTTGGGCTTAGACTTTTTTTTCTTTTTTTTTCTATAAATCTTTACAGATCACGAATATCAATTTATTAATAAAATAAAATATTTTATGTTTTAAAAAATAAATAATTATTTACTACATCGATAATGAAATATTTTTAACTCCATAAATTTTCTTTTTATTTGATTGTTTATAGGGATTGATCGAGAAGCAGGTGGGAATAGTTGTCGTTCTGGAAATTTAAATTTATTATATATTTTATATTTGTTCTATGTATTTTCTATTAAAAAATTATTTTTCTCCCTGAAATTTATAAGTTCGTATCTTCCTAAAATTTTAGAAATGTACTCTCATAGCATAAAATAATATATATGTCCCTGATTATTTAGGAATGTATCATCGTCAGTCTTTGACTAAATAATATCATATGTATTTTGTCATAATTTTTTTATGTTCTCATTTTTCCCCTTTTTTTCTTCCTCCTAAATAATATCCTTCGGGTCATCATAATAAACGTTTCTTAAATGGTTGAGAAAATTGCATGTCGACTTGCAATTGGTGTAGTCATGAAGTGTGGTATTTTAACCGTTTGAGTGGTGCTGAATCCCTCCACTATTTAAGGGGTTTAGGAGTAGGATTATTAAATCTTTAATTTTACTTGATTTTGAAGAATTTACTTTTATCTTTCAAATTTTTAATTGGAACAATGAAGAAAAACATCAGAGGAGAAACAAAGTATATAGTATAATGTGAGTTTTTCATCTGTAAGACTAGTCAAAATAAGGTTAGAAATCTTCTACTGAGTCAAGGTAACATTAGATTTGAATTTGAGATTTCCATAGTGTATGAGTGATTGTAGTGAAGTTTATGATGACGATTTAGAGCGTTTCTATTTTCCTCTATTCGCTATGGAGACAAGATTTCATCCCCTGTTGCATAATTGTTTTAGAGATATATTGAATATGTATGAGGTTGCTCTAGTCAGTTAGTCAAAGTTTCTTGGTGGATCATTATCGGTTACTTTATTTACCATCGGTGGAAGGGATGAGCGCCTTCCATTTACAAAATGTGCTCACTCTAAATATTATGGCACAAAGAATTTGTTCGAACCTTATGAGTTTTACGCGGAGAGACAGATGATTTGAGATAAAAGGAGTCAATTGTAGATTGAAGCACTAAGGATAAATTAAGTTTAGACCGACGTAAACTTATTAAGGTAACCAATAAGTTACGTAGAGGTTTTGATTTCCCTCAAACGGTGATGTGTGCCCAATAGGGGTGTATTCGATTCGGTTCGGTTTTTTTACCAAAAATTGAATCGAATCGAAATAAACGGTTTTTCAAAATTTAAACTGAAATCGAATGGTTAAAAAATTGAAAAAACCGAAATCGGTTTTTTCGGTTCGGTTCGGTTTTTTAACAGTTCAATTTTTTCGGTTCGGTTCGATTTATCGGTTTTTCAATGAAAAAATCACTTGAAACTATAAATTTTTTTAAAAAAATTGCATATTCAGTTCAATATGAAACAAATAGGTCCCATATGAAAAACCCGAACCAAACCGAATCAAAAGAATGAAGACTTTAAACCGAACCGAAAACCGAACCGTATAATATCAAACCGAACCGAACTGAATCGAACCGTTTTACTCGGTTCGTATCGATTTTTCGATTTTCTCGATTTCGTTGCTCAGCCCTAGTGCTCAATAAATAAGTTAGGATTGCTATGCCACAATCAAGGAGAGAGAGAGAGAGAGAGAGATAATTTACTATATTAGAAGAGGATGGATGATAAGTCATTGTTAAAAATATTTTGATTTAGAATGTATTTAGATTATGTCTTATATTTTAAAAAATCAATGATATTAAAAAATTATTTTCTTTTAATTAATTTGTTTGGTTATATTTGGGAAAGAATAACATTTTGTTCTTATTTAAACACATGTTTTCTACGGAATTTAATCATATTTAATAAATATTAAATATACAAATAAAACAAGAAAAATATGATATATAAATATAATGGTAATTTAGGTGTTTGGATTTAATATAATATATATTTAATATGTAGCAGGCAGACCCATTCTTATTCGATGCCCGGAGAAGGAATTGGCTAACTGCTAAGGCGAAAGCAGTTAAGAACGCCACGTGTGCCATGTCAATACGTTGCATTATTTATTTCTTTTGTATTGAGTTTTTGAGGTTCGAATGAAAGCTTAAATTCATCCCAAACAAAAATTTCTAACTGCCTTTTCATCGTCTTCCAAACAACATTTTCTTTTCCGATGGTGTTTTCGGTTATATCGGCTTTAACCGCGAGCTGGTTATCGCCTACCGCTCTTTTCATCTTCCTCAACATCGTGATCGCCACCATCTTCCTTATCTCCCGTCTCTCTCCTTACAAAACGCAGAACGTCGTCGTCGACGACTATAACTCATCCCGGCCGTCACTACATCGACCTCCATCGTTCCTCGACCGCGTCAAGTCTTTCAACTTCTCGAATTGCAGATTTCCTCTGTCGAACACTGAATTCGACCACCATCTCCATTCCAATGACGGCTCAGCAGCCCATCGGCCGTCGATACTCGAACGAGTCAAGTCCTTTTACAAATATTCTCCTCAAGGTCCAGAAATGGATTATATTCAACCAGCTCAGCAAGAACTCAGCCGACCTCCGTCTCTATCAGATCGAGTCAAATCATTCGATTTCACCTCCTTTTACAAATCGGACTCCATTAAATCAAACCAAATGAAACCCTCTGTAACTGAAGAGATTCCGGTTCATGGTGAAGTAGAGAGAGTCCAAGCAGAGCTTAAGGTAAGGCGAAGGGAAAATTTACCAGAGAAGATGAAGAAATCAACAAGAGAGAAAGAGAGGCGGAAGGTTGAAGAAGAGGAGATAATAAGACGAACAGCAAGTACAGGGAACGAGAAAACGACGGCGTTTGAAGAAGATGATCACGGTGTTGATGCAAAAGCTGACGATTTCATCAACAAGTTTAAGCAACAACTTAAGATGCAGAGGCTCGAATCCCTCTTACGTTACAGGGACGTTCTTAAGGCCAAATGATTTAAGTGTAAAATTTGAAGAAAAATAATAATAAATGATGGATTTGACATAAATATATGTTAATTTTCTTTAAATTATTATGAGTAAATTATAAATTTCATCATTTAATTCCATCAATTAATTCTAATTTTATAATATTTTAATTATTTTATCATTAAATTAATAACATTATTTTAGAATTTTATAACAAATTAAATTTACATCAAATTAACATAATTTTAGTTATATATACACCTTATTTGTATCTTTTCTTATCGTCTGAATCAACTTAAATTTTAATTATTATGTTCACAGTAATTTCGACCACTATAATTGATAGCTAATAAATTTAAAAAGTTTTCAATAAACTTGTTTTATTTTACTAAACGTGATTTTAATGTCAGTTTAAATAAAAAATATCATATATTTATAAAATTTGGTTGAACATTTTGATTTTTTGTTATTCAATATTTGTTGTTTACCATGAAGTAATAACAAAATTATATTATTGGCCCATATAAAAGAGGCTATCCATCGAGAATCAAGACTGAAATTATAATAAGTTAGATTGATAAAATTTATTGTTTACCTAAATGTTATTGGACCAAAGTTTTTATTAAAAACGAATTAAATTAATCCATTATGATCTATCTCATATTAAATGCATTAAAAGATAATACTTGCAACTAGTCATCGTATTGTATAATAAAAATGTTAAAAGAAATGTATGCTCTGGATTAGTTGTTGAACATTTGTCTCGTATAGAACGTGATCTATTTTGAATTTAGATCAACTACTTCATGTAATATTATTTTAAATGTGACTTTAAATATTAATAATGTAATTTTTTTAATTTTAATTTCTCGTTCATGACGGAATAGAAAATAATGCTCAAAAGTTATATAAAGTTGGCGTCATGACATGGTTATGGACAATGGCATCGAGCCATCGATAATTACAATACCTGAACAACCATGTTTACGTCAGTAATAACATAACAATAAAAGGGGAAAGTACACAAATAATTTTTCGATTTTTTGAACTACCTGTTTCTAAAAGTTATAAAATAATTGCTTCACTATCCATATATTTTAAATTCATTATTTTCTGTTAAAAAATTGACGGCAATCTGAGTTGAACGTTAACCTGCTGCCTACGATATGCTAAAATCTAACCCTAAAATATCAAACAATTATCATATCTTAATCAGTATATTAACGTCCAACTCATACGAGTTTAAAATATATGATTGGTTGGATGACTATTTTGTAACCTTTAATAGTCGAGAGACCCAATAAAGTAACACCATAAAGTTAAAAGATCATTTTGTAACTTTTAATAATCAGTTGGGTTAACAAAACAATATCTTATAGTCAGGATCATTTATGTACTTTACCTATAATTAAAATAATCTATCAACTAATATTTTTTAGTGTCATGAGTTCATAAGACATTAATTTAATTGAGCTCATCAAATAATTTTTATGATTAAAGTAATTACGTGTGCAAATACATGTACTTTATCAATAATTTAATTAAAAATTATTTTTAATATATATTATATTATAATCACCTTAAATTATTTGAAGATATTAACTTAACAAACACAAGTACATGGATAGCATTATCTCGAGGCTTGGGATCAAAGAAAGTTATGTCTGGGCGTTAATGGTTTGTTAGTGTCCGGCTCTCTCAACCTTCCAGGCACCAAGTACTAGATGTTACAAATGTTTTTAAATTTTGTCTTTTTTTTTTCTGAAAAACTTATATATATATATATATTATTTTAGATAAATAATGGATAACTTGATATGCTTAAAAGAATTTAATTTTAATACTTCAATATTCAGTTTTGACGTATAACTTAGAACCGCTAGTTTTAGATTTAACTAAACTAAAGTCTAAAAACTTAATAATATAAACATATTTTACACCCGCATTAGCCGCCATTAGGGATGGTAATAGGTAGAGTCATGCTAAATTTTCAATTGAATATTTATATTTAAGTTGAGTATTATATCATTCACCTAACATTTTGATTCGGATTAAGAGAAGTTTTACTCAATCTAAAATTTAGGATAAAAATTTGCACCAACACAATTTAAATAAAAAATATTTTTATTTGATAAAATAAGAACATAATTAGAAAGAATATTATAACAATTATCTTAAATGTGTAGAGAAAAAGATATTACAATTTCATGTTAGATAAAATATTTTTCACCTTAAACTCAAACTCAACTCAACTCAATCCGATTCAACATCATACTTCATAAAACCGTATCTAAATTCAAATGTTAAAATAATAATAATAATAATAATAACCGGTTTTATAAAATCTAACATAACTCATTAAATTCTAATTAAACTTCTATTCATAATCGCATATGGAATTAAGAAAACGATTATCCGTGCCAACTTGAAATGGCATCGAAGAATCTTTTGAAATTGATTTCATATGAATTTTCCAAGCGCACACATACAGCACATGCTTCAGCTATATGTCAAGAATTAAGGGTTCATCCTCGTCCATATCATCTTTCAAAGGGAACATGATGCTTTATTCCTAACATTTCTTTATTTTATTTTCCATGTAACGTGCGGTATTTGGTAAAAGTATAATATTGGGAATAAGTTTTAGGACAGTTCGAAATATTCGTTGGGTCATATCTTAACATTTTTCCCTCAGCGAATCAGATCAGATTTGTTTGTTAGGTATGATGCCAAGAATGACAGCACTGTCGGAGATTGCATCTTCCAGGTTAAATTATATATATATATTATGAGAAAGCAGATATTCCCTGTTGGATTCATGAGTGAAACAGTAGAAATTACTCTAATGAAAAATAAGCAAAAAAATCCTGATATTTATTGGACCCTCCAACACCCATGAAGTAGCAGTACGTGAAGATGATTGAGTGAGGTAATAAAAGGACGATGCTCAGAGTATCCAAATCTTTTGGTACCAACTTGGACTGGGACCCAATTTCTGAACAACAACTTGCTTGCTACGTCATCTCACGCCAATCATCATCCAATATTGCACATACCTACTGCACAAATTTTACCACAGAATGCCAGATCACATAATGCAATAATATATGTTCATATTTAATTATGGTATATATCAAGATTCGATATTCAAAACATTCCAAACTCAAAAATTAAAATTCAACATAATTCGAATTCACCTAATCTACCCAACTAGTATATTTCTAGCATGTATCATCTAACTTGTCTAATGGAAATCTGTCTGTAAGACACCCTAGTTCGTAGGCACCGAGCAAGTTGCAGTTGCAAGTGGGATCGTTTGGTCGAACGTTTTTCTTTTCTTTTACCTTCGGTGCCCAGTCACGAGCATGATAACAAAGCTTCCTGACCTAATCCTAGGTTGTTTCGACACTTCATATTGGTTAATGTTTGAAAGTTCAAGTAGTAAAATGATAATTTAAATATAATTTAGTGATTTATATACTTCATTTTATTTATTAGGTTTAATTAAAAAAACAAGAGTATAAATTATATTTTTTTGCTTATTTTAGGTGTCTAAAGTTTTTTTTAAGATCAAAACATGTGTCTAACGTTTATTTTTGTTACGATTTAAAACGTTTGATCGTTAACCGTCATTAAAAAATTCATTATCCAATAAGTACTTGACATATAACTTTTTTTTAATTTCTTTTAATTTTATTTAAAAAATTAAAATCATTAATCTTCAAAAAAAACCCTAAAATCCTTAAATTCATATACTCCAGATATCTAAATTTCATATACCATCATTGAATAAGCTATCAGTGACTGATCATCCATTTTGTTATAGGACTCTCACAGATCGATCGTCTCTTTTATTATCGTACGGTGTCACCCAGAACATAATAATTGCAATATTTAATCATTAATTCTGTCGCGTGAGATCTTTTTTTAATCCAACCTTCGCTTGTTAGCCGGCATTGGTGATATTATATTGCCCCTGAACTAAAATTGAGCCGTTCAAACCTCTGCTCGCTGTCTGATATTCGATTGTTTAAAGAAATTTGGAGATTTAGAAATGTGCTTTTTTTTCCGGAAATTATAAAATTTAGGATTTTTTTAGAGTTTTTAAACTTATTATTATTATTATTTGAGTAGAAAGAAAACCAGACTTTTACATCATATGAATTAGATTCCTTAAGTGAGAGAATCATGAAGGTCTCTAGAAAGAGTATCAACAAGCAAAGATAATGCGTTCGAGAAGATTTGGATCAAGTCAGCAGCATCGGTTTAGATCAAATTAATATTAATTAGAAATTAATATTACATGACAAACAATTATTAGTTGACGATTTTTTAATCATCATTGACGAAATGATCTTAAAATGGTAACAAAATAAAACTTTAAACATTTTAAATAATAAAAAAATAAACATTATATACCTACTTTAACAAAAGAAAATCTTTAAACACCTAAAACAAAAACATATAATTTAATAATTTATTTTTCAACTAAACCAAATTATTATACTAAAATTTGAAATTATGTGGGGACAGGGTGACCCACTTTTCTCATATTTTCACTGTGTTCTGGTAGGTATAAAAACCTAACTATCACTGTTTTGACATGTGAGTATGGACATGCCCATGCCTAGTTGTTTTCAACATTACATTTTCTTGATGTTTTATTTCGCTTAAAACAACAACTCCAAAGGACATTGATCTTTCTTACAATTGATTTGTCAAATTTTTTAATATTTTAGACAATTGCATGTTGCACGTGAATGTCAAACATCAGTTTTTTTTAAATAAAAAATTATATTCTTAAGTAAATAGTATTAATAGAAGCTACGTGATAATATATGTATGAATATTGTTGGAGGGTCTTCTATTTGACAGGTCTCGGCATCTATCAGATCTTTAGGTCAAAGATTTTCTTTTGAATATTTGTTTTTTTTACTCTAGAATCTAGGACCTAATTTATATCATTACAATACAAATATGATTATAGACTCTTCGATTGTTTTTCTATTATGTTAATAAATTATTCTCTCAAAATAAAATTAGAAATTTTGAAATCATTTTGATTTGTATAGTTATTGATTAACAAACTTTATTATTTTGATATAATTTTAAGCCATCGATCCCTAATTTAAATATTATTTGATAAATTGTTTAAAATAATTATAAGGATATATGTTGTTGGCTCTCTGTAATTTTTTTTTAATTATGTACCGTTTGAGGTGTTCATGTTTAATAAATTAGTTTTTTAACAATACTCTTACATTTTATAGCAAATTTTTATTTTTCGTTGATAATAACACATACAAATTATCTAAAAGATTAGATCCTACTTGATATATATATTAAATATATATATATATATTAAAGATCACTATTCATAATATGTCATTATGTTTCTCTTCACTAATCTTATTCTTTTATATCAGGTTCAGATGAAAGCTTTTATATTAGGGGTGAACTTTTAAAATTTTTGAAAAAGATAAATTTATAAAATTTTAAGAGATGAAAATATAATTTTAGTACAAAATATATAAAAAATATATAAAATATCTAAAATATTTGGTAATTTTAAATTTTTAGAGAACTGACTCCTCCCATTTTTCCCTTCTATATATCCTGTTTTACATGCAAATTTATGTTATATGTATGTGTATCAGTGCACGTATATATATGTACGTATGCTTGTGCATATAAACAACTCAAAGCAGAAAAGGAGCCAAGAAATAGATTCTCTTTCCCTGTTTCTCTCACCCTTTTGCTTACGCCTTTTCTTCGTTAATTTTCAATTTGATTCACCATTAAGGAAAACAAAAATGGTAATGAGTTTTCAAATTCCAGCTTTCTTCTCAGCTATATTCATTATAACCCGCTTTGTGTCCATGATAAACATATCATCAAAGTCGTCCATCACAAGGATATCAAAGCCCTCGACATCTCAGCCAAACTCTCCGTCGACGCTTCCGCCACTGAAGCAGCTTCTCAAGATTTCGGCCATATCGTAAAAGCCGTTCCAAAGGCAGTTCTTCACCCTTCAACACCACAAGGCATTGCTGCACTGATAAAATTAAGCTACTACTATAGTTCAGTTCGTTTCGGTATAGCAGCCAAAGGGCAGGGCCATTCGGTCAGGGGTCAGGCAATGGCAAATAATGGCGTCGTGATCGACATGAAATCGATGAAGAAACATCCGAACGGAACCGGAATCCAAGTCTCGAGATGTCGGTGGCGAACAGCTTTGGATAGACGTGTTGAATAAAACATTGGAACACGGACTTGCACCCGTTTCTTGGGCGGATTATTTGTACCTAACCGTCGGTGGTACGCTCTCCAATGCTGGGATCAGTGGGCAAACCTTTCGTTATGGTCCTCAGATTAGTAATGTTCTTGAAATGGATGTTATAACAGGTATATATATATAATAATTATTATTGCCTAAAATCCATTGATCTTGTAGTCACATTGATGTAAGTTGCATGCATGCAGTTAGACTTACTAGCCACGTCTATCTATCTTAAAATTCAGGAAAAGCTGATTTGATGACTTGCTCGCCAATGAAGAATTCAGAGCTCTTTTATGCTGTTCTTAGAGGTTTAGGCCAGTTTGGAATAGTAACAAGAGCAAGAATTCCACTCGAACCGACACCAAAACGTGTAATTTTTTTTAATTATTGATATTTAATTTATTGATCGATAAATTCTTTTATTTTTATGTTAACAGGTCAATTGGATACGAGTAATATACAGTGATTTCTCCTCATTTACCGGAGATCAAGAGCTTTTAATCTCGAGAAATGGACGAAAAGATAACAATGCATTGGATTATTTAGAAGGTTCGCTTCTCATGGATCAAGGCTCTCCAGATAACTGGCGATTTTCGTTTTTCCAACACTTGGATCACCCCAGAATAATCTCATTGATAACCGAACATCGAATCATCTATTGTCTCGAAGTTGTCAAGCATTACAATGACCAAACAAAAAACTCTGTCGACAAGGTAAAAGAAAAGGGATCAAATTTGAGGATGTCGTAAAATAAATACATGTTACGTGATACTGATTTGCATGTGTTTTTA